AGATCCTTTTCTTTCCTTTAACCTGCAACACGCCATAGTGATCCTGACCAGAAGACCACTGTACATCAAGAAGCTAGTGACCCACACAGCAGCTAACCTGAGTGGGTCCACCAGGCCTGTGCTGTACACCTGGTTTGACCTTCAGGCCTATGTTGTGAAACACATACACCTCAGCCGCAGGATAAACCGAGCCAGCTCATTGCAACCAGCAGCTCCTGCTTGGTACCAGTCATTCCACAACCTGCGTGTCCTTCCCTTTATCTAAAAGTGCAGCAAGTTTTCTTGTGAATACCCTTTCTGTTTGACAGTAGAAATGATGAGCTGTTTACTTGCAAGAAAAACCTATAACAGCTTGAATAACCAAAACGGGGTAGGTCTTTCTAAAATAGGACCTGCACAGCACACTGATCACAGGGAAAGAAAACTATTGAAAGTTCTGGAATGCAGAAAAGCACACTGTACCACTTTTACAGATTTTTTTAAAACATTTACTAGCACTTACTACTCTCTTCATTTAAAACTTTACTTAATTTTTGTTTCAGAAAACACTGTCTTACAGAAGCTAATGCAAACTGTTTTTAAAAAGCTTGTAAATACTTTGTTCACAGGTACATACATACATGTTCATGCATATATTTAAATTTTAATAGGATAATGACATGAGAATTGTAGGAATGAAGTATGCAGTGGAAACAATAGTGGAATCTAAGGTAAAACCTTGCATTCTGAAATCCAAAATTTTCCAAAAAATAAACTGACTAGAACATCTAAGAATTGTACAAGTGAGTATTTAAAAACAACGATCAATCTTTCTATAGGAATTCTTATTTCTTATGTAAATCACGTTAAAGCAAGGTTGATTTTAAAGCAAGATTTCTTAAAACAGTAATTCTGGGGAGAAACTGTTATTTGCAATAAGAATTGATAAAAGCATTATGGCTTTCCATTGAGATCCTCAGAATGGTAGTCACCGTCTCACAATGAAGCAGCACCAGGACTGAGACTTCATTCAGACTTACAGCCGCATGTTACCGTTCATACTCTCCTGTTTGGAGCACAAAAGGAAGGATCAGAGGTTCCTCCCAGCTACTGTGCTCTCAAAACACTGTCAACACAGGGAAATGAGCTATAGTACAATCTGAACACAACCTATATTTTGCTTTAGGTGACACCAGAAGGTATCCACATCCATGACTTGCCAGCTTTATGCAATCTGGAAAGAGGTGATTTCAGTTAGAAGGACAGCTCAGTCCCACTAGTGCAACTATAATCAAAGAGAATTGCAGTATGTCTTTGGAAAATGCAAATAATCTACCTTTCTGTTTGCTTCCACCTTCTTCCTAGTATTACTTATTCTACATAAATTTCCCTCTTCAAATATTTCTCTTAGAATATAAGTCTTTTTCAATGAGAAAGACATCTGGACAAATTAAACTATAGGCTGGTGCCTTTTTTGTTCACATTTCATCATTCTCAGCATGCAGACTCTGATATGCTGTAATCTATCAGTACACAGTTTATCTGGAAACCTTTCATTCTGATGTATTATTGTTTACTTAACCATAACAGTTAATACTTACATACTCTGTCTAAGATATGAATCAGCCCTACAATCAATATAACCTGCTTTTAAGCCTGGAATCAATTACTGGGTTGAGTATTAATTTTATTAATGATGTTGCAGAACTCAAGAATTCTGAGTCTGCTAGCCCCAAGGCATTAGTACTGTAAACATCAGAGTATCCCACTCACCATTTCTATCAAGGTAATACAAAAACAAAAAGAACCTCAAAGAGGATTTTTTTAAAAAAATAAATGTTTAAATACAATAAAGAAAAATATGTTGCACCTTCTATTTCTACAATTAATAATAAATATTTACATCCAGTCTACACAGATGTCCTGGTTCAGCTAGGATAGGGTTAAGTTTCCCCAGCAGTAGGGAGGGAGCTCCAGCTGGGTTATTCCATACCATGCTGATGTCAGGTTGGGCACCCAAGCGTGGGAACAGTTTCTGGGATTGCTTTTGTCCCTGACAGTACCCGCAACAGGACTGCTGTATCCTTGTGGTATATCTCTGTATATCTCTTGTCCTGTTCATTGTTATTACACTTATTGCTATTGCTATTGTTGTTTTTCGGATTATTCTTTGTTAGACTGTTGTATTACATTTTTCCTTATCTCAACCCTGGGGTTAGTATACCACTCTCTGCCCTGTCTGGTCCAAGGGTGGCGGAAGGACAACAACAACATGGTCTTGGGTCCTGGCAGGGCCTAAACCACAACAGTTAACTTTTGGCTTAGATTTATGGGCAGGAATTGGGGTGTTAAAACAGTATCAGGGGGAAGATGAAATACTACAGGAGTGATGAAACTTGACACAATGAGCCATACATCAAATCTCCACAGCTGAGAGCCCCAGGACACCAACCAAGTACTTTGTAACAAGAAGGCTCTGCAGTGTGTCAGAAAGGAAAACAATGACAACAGCTTGTCAAGTTTTCAGCTCTTCAGTGAAGGACAGCATGAACTGGGTGTGAGGTGGGGCTCTCAGGTGATCTGCCAATACCAACCCAGCAAAATGCGAATGTGAAACAGATCCAGCATGGCAGCAAACCCCTGAAAACCAGCAGGATAAGCTGTTCACTTAAAGCATTGTGATTTTTTTGATTAGAGATACAATATGAAGATAAATAGAATACATTATGTGATTTAAAAAATACTCTCATATGCATGGGTTTATCACAGTCTTTCAGCTCTTGTGAAACCCTTCCTGGAAAATCAGGAGTTGTGGGACACAAATGATTAAAAAAGATCCCTAAAATATAGTGCTTATATGTAGTATGACAAAGACAGAACATGTAAGACAGAATCCATTTGGGACAGGTTACTTACCGCAGAGCCACCTGGGAGAAAGTGTGATCAGCCTACACTCATATGACTGAAACTTTGTACCACTGCATGTAAAAATTATGTCCAATATATGTTGGAGGGGAAAAAAAGTCTTATTGTTTTTTCAGGAATAAAAATGAAATTAAATGAGGTGTTCTTTTGTCTCTACATAGATTGTTTGTGGACAACAGCCAAAGACCAGGTACTCATTTATCTTGTTGCATAAATATGGTGAAGGAGAATTAGGTAGGAGAAAGACTGAAACACCAAATGTTCTTTACACAGTCATGCTGAAATTAAGAATTTGAGAGTGCTCACTTCTCTCCTGTATGATCCTGTGCTCCATTGAAAAAAACTCAGTCTCCAAATTCAATCCTGTCATCTGCTGTCTTTGGCAGAAGTGATATAAAAGTGTACATTTCCTACAGTATGCTTGTAGGAAAAGCTGAAAATATGTGCCTATATTCACAATGTGCTGCTGTGTGATGCTACTAATGTTCAAGAACCAAATAGTACATAAGTAATAGTAAATAGGTATGAACCAATGTAGAAAGGCAATATTGAATAGTCAGAATGAACTGTAACATTTATCTTGATGCTGAGATAAATTACTGTCAGTTAGGCCATTTAATTGTTTTCTGCCATCTTGATTAAATTTAAAATAATCACTTTTGTCCAGCTCAGATTTTCTTCACATAACGCTATATTTAGTAGAGTACTATCCATAGTCTTTGAAGAATATTCATGTATTGTCTGTTCTCACTGATGGCAAATAGTTGCCCTGAGTTTTAAAACCTCTGAAGGAAGGATGCTCATTAGATAAGAAAAAAGCAGATACACATGCAAACTCTATCAAACTCTATGAATGAGAAATATCTAAGACAAGAAGAAGTTGCTGCTCTGATCCTAAAGAGTTAATCTAAGAAGAATAAGTAAATCCAAATTTTGTAACTGTATCACCACCTTTTGATTTTTTAAAGACTAGTAAGTTTATCATTAACTATCTGGAAACTCAGTGATTTATCTAGTATTGATGTACACTGTCCAGCTGTAGGCAAAGGTACCTGACAATCATGGTCAATAGTATTATACTCCACCTGAAGTCCAGTCTAGCAGTAACTTTTTTTTTTTTCCTCACCACTAAAAGTAGGCTGCAAAGTATTTTCTGATTTCTGTATGCGTTTATTAAAATGTATTTTAATTCACTGAAACTCTGAATTTAATTCCACGCTTATCACTGACTAGCCAGAAAAGAAAGTTGTGCTTTTTCAAGAGGCTAGATGTCAAGCACAATAAGTTTTTTTTCTTCCTTCTCCCTTGTTTTAAGATTTGGTTTTACAATAGAGGCATACTTCTAATGCAAATACGATGAAATGACTAATTTCCCCCCCCTTTTTTAATCATATAAGAATGAACAGCAATAACTATTAGAAATTAAAAGAGAATTCTCCTATTTGGCAGAATATATTCAAAACTAAATATATATAATTTATCTCAGAGGATGATCATAAGTATATGCAAAACATCCAACTTGATATATTAGAGAATATATATATGGGAACATATTAGAAAATATTAACGAATATATAAACAGATACTAAAATAAATTGCCCTAGAACACAGAACATATATCCCAATCATTACCTTTCACTTTTGCTATACATTATTTTAAAAATAATCAGCTTGTACTTCTTGAATGTGAAATCATTAACACCCAGAAAAAAAATCAGTACATGCAACACAACTGTTAGCCAGCAACTTTCAGCTGAAGGAAAACACCCTGATAAACTGAAAAAATGCTGACTTACTTGCTTTTTGCACTTAGTGATCAATTTTTATTTTAAAAAAATCCTTTAATTAAAGTCTTTTTAGTACTTTCTTAGCTATTATTCTGCTTTTTGTTCATTATTCAGTTACTGTCCTGCACTAAGAGCTTTAATTTCAAGAATAAGTATCTGATTATTCAGTTCTGTATCTCTTTAAATTTAGTATTTCATGCCATAAGTGCATTACTATTTGAATAATTACAATGTATATTAATAGGAGCAAATGTTCCACTGAGTATTCAGTTATTTTATAAATCTGTAGATTATATGTGACTCTCCTACCAGGCAACAATGGCAGAAGGAAGGAGTCCAATCAGTCCAAGGGTTCTTTTCCTAAAGAAAAGACAAATATGACTCATGTCATATCTGGAGCCAAATTACTTTAAGCTGGAGAAATTTAAAATAAAACCTTCTTGATCTCATTTTTAAGTTTGTTGTCTTGCACACATAGCAACATTCAGTTATCTTTTGGAATGCACAACCACGTATCATCATATATGGGAAACAAAAAAATACAATGAACTGAGTGACTCCACTCATTGGTGTTTCCAGGACAGTCAACATATTTCCACAATTTCAAAGTATGTGTCAGATTTACCAAGCCCCACTTATTAATAGCAGTTGATATTAATATCCATACAAACATATTCATATATATCCAAACATGCCAATATTATGTGTGACAACTGTGTAGCATTTTAGAAGGGGATACATTTAGTCCTGGTACAAAGCAAAGGAACAAGCTAACTGGACACTTAAAATTATGTGATTGCAAACTGTTTTTCAGTTTTCTGTTTTTACTTAAAATTATGTGATTGCAAACTGTTTTTCAGCTTTCTGTTTTTCCTTTCCCCCCAAAAAAATCTAGAACTTCACATGAAATACCCACGTATGCTATACAGTATGTATGATGAAGTTTGGTACCATCCTGAGGCATCACGGTCGTCTAATGCTAGTCTGTAAGAAATTCAGCAGTATTATTGCAACTCCTTAGAAACTTAACTCAGGCCAGGACACAGACATCACAGTGTCCTTAAAATCTGTAGCCCAGAGTCCTCTCAATTTTTGGATCCAATTACCATTCTGTTAAGAAAATGGAGTAGGGCTTGCTGTATTCTGTTAAATCACAGCCAGGATAACAGAAGGAAGTGAGAAAACAAATGCCTCCCATATAGCAACCTATTGTTGCTGTGTATCCCCATTAAACAAAAAAAGATTCAACATATGGCAGAAAAGTGATCCTACCCAGCAAGAGACAAGGCTACTGAAAACAAAGATGACTCTGCTCCATTCCTGTTAAAGTTGTGCCGCTGTGAAGCGAAGAATCCTGTAGTCTGTAGGAACAGAAACGATGTGTGAGATTTATCCCAAGGAACGGGGCATTTAGCAGGGAGTGACACATCCTCATCTCTAATTCATGCTTCTAAGGCAATTTAAATTCATGCAGTCACTCTTTAAGATAGATTAGTTGTGAGGAGGAGAATGGTTTAAACACCCAGAACCAAACCAAATCTTCCAATTCTCAGTAATCTAACAGACTGGTTGTTAAATAAAAGGTTATTCAATCTCCCCATCCTTCATGCTAAACGCAAGCAGCTACAGCAAACTAAGAATCTCTGAATATGAATGTATGCTTGGTGTGGCCTGAAAACACTGACAAAAGAGCGCCCTTGGACACTTAAACTGAGGTCTATAAACGGCTGAATGGGAAATAGGTGCTAAACTGTTCTAGGGGCTACACACTGAATGTGCACAGAAGTAAAACCCTAGATACTCAGGAGATACAAATTAAAACCAAGGAAGAGCCTTCTGATTTTAGGCATCTCCTGGGTTAGGCAGCAGCTGTGTGAGATTTCTCAGATTGCATTTTGGGATTTAGGCACCTGAATTCTCCCTAAATCCTGCTTTAGGTATTTAAGTCCTTTATTGGATCTAGCCAATAAACTGTGTCATTACTCTACCTGGTTAAGTATCTTACATCCTATTATGCTTTGCCTCCCTTTTTATTTTTCATGAGATACTTATCTTTCCAACATGTAGTTAACTGTTTATCCTCCGTGCAGTTGTTCAGGTTTTTTTTATACTTACTAGTGCATACATAATTACTAAGTGTAATTAAATAATTTACTAAGGGCCTTATTTCCACAGCTCCAATTTTCTCAAAGGGAACTGAGATCCTTTGGAAAACCCATACTGCAGTGCAGTACAGAAATGCCAGAGATAGTGGTAGCAGATTAGCCCTGTTCAGTTCAACTTAACTAACTTTTGGGACCAAGCAGCAAATGCAGTTTTGTGACCTCTCGTACTTAAATTACTCAAAGCCAACTTCTGCCCAACACTGTGTTGCACAAGGGTTGGCATTTGTTCTACAGCAGTGATGCTGAGCATTTTTCTATTTAAAAGTCTGTCTGCCAGAACTCACTAAAGCCGCAAAAGTCTACTAAGCAACAAAGAACAAACTGAAATAAAACAAAACCAAGCTGGTTTTGAGCATTATTTCTTAGCCAGGGCTGAAGTGACTCAAACATCATCAGCTAAGGTCCTCAAATGCTGTTCAAGAATTGCTTTGTTTAATATGGTTTGATATTTCCTTTTTCCATGTTTATTTTTTCTTAGAAGGTGTTAGGTTCTCAGTAGAACAATTAGTTCTCAGGAAAATTATGACCTTTTTTTTTTAAGAGTATGACTTATTTGCCTAATCTAATCTTTCTCCAATCCATTTTGCCTTTGCTACACATATCTTGGCAAAAAGTTACAACAGCTGGATAGCTAACTAGCTACCTTTAAAGAAATAGAGGAAAACAGCCAGAAAGCCATTACCACATTTCTCTTAGAATATAACCACCTTCTTTGGGTTAACTAATTTTTCTCAGGATATATGTCAAGAAAGACTGTAAAATGGAGCTTGGCTCCAGATTTCCAATACACAGGTATTAATTTTTAGGCCCACTGCTTGCCTGTTCCCTCAGCCTGGGTTGGTTTCGCTTCATTTTGTTTTACTGCTGTTGTTTTCTGAAGATCTTAAATCAGATTAATTGTGTATAATTTATCTAAAGCAGAGTAAAATACAACTTCAAACACTATTTTATTGTCATCTCATGTTTAATTGGCTTGTGAACACTACTTGTACAAGGAATTGCTTATAGAAACATCGAATCAACAGCTTAAAAAGCTTAAGAAAGTAACAGTACTTTGTAGGTACCTCTCTGAACAAGGACAACCAAGACTTACATAAGCAGTTGTAAAATACTGCTGCTCTACAGTAGGAAGGGAAGGGACAATTCCCAAAGTCTTTCTTAGAATGGTCCACATGAACTGCACAATGACATGGTTTGGTTTTGAAGTTATCATTTATCTGACCCTACCCTACAAGAGAAAAAAAAAAAACAACATGGGGTTTTGTGCGTGCGCTATTTTTAGAGGAGTGGTGGTGGAGCTGTGTGTTATCTAATCTAGTAAAAAGTTACATGTCTTTTTTTTTCCTCTCTTACATAATTATCACATCCTGATGGCAACACAGTGAAAGATTAGAAAATTGATTTTTTTTCTTCTTTAGTTAAATATGCCAAAAGTGAAATAATACACCAAAGTGTGAAGAATCAACTGTAGCTTAAAGATATAAGAATGACCACACTGAGTGATAACAAGGTCCAGCTAGGCCCAGTACACTCTTTCCAATGGTCATAAAAATTAACAGCTAGAGAGTAAGGACAAGGTAAATACAGAGTCAGATTTCTCCCAAAATAATCTCTCAGATTCCAGAGATCTGTGTCTCAGAGATTACCTTTATGTAATGGATTCTTTTATATGAACTTCTTCATACTCTTCCTGAACTCAACTGTAGAATGCCAGGCTCCAAAACTACTTCATAATCCAAAGGATTCTCTCTATTCCTGCAGCATAGTGCTGGCATATATTTAAGAACAAATTTGAAGGCTGTATCTTCAATTTAATGAACTTCAACTTTCTACAACCACACAGAACAAACTTAAGCAAAAATCAATCTTTTGTCTATCAGAATCTAGATAATTTATTTTCTTAATGCACAGAACCCCTGAGTTTCCAAGAGAGACCTAAGACAATAAGGGCAACTGTGTATGTAGAAAACAGCATGTATCCCAAACATCAGGAGACAGTGAGGGGATACAGTGACAGCAAGTACTGCTACCAGAAAGAGCAAGCTCTGAAGAAAAATACTGAAGATAGATTTTGACAAGTGGTAGAAATCCATACCCATCCATTCATCCATCCTACCCCAACTCTCTTCTTTCAATGTTTTCAATTGTTGTGAAGTGAAAGATGATGGGAAAAACCTCAACTCTTCTGCTCCAAGACCCCAAGACTGATAAAGCCATATTTCATTCCTGTACACTAGGAATTATGCAGAACAGCCGACTGTAGATACAATATTGCTTGAATCATTGGTATAAATTCTAACATATGAACTTTTATATGAGTCATTGGAAGTAGCAACAGTGGAAAGAAACAGATTTTCATTTCTATTTGTTTTCAATTGTTCCTGCAGAGGACAACCTTACTATCCTAATTCCAGCTTTTTAAGGAAGTCCCACAAAGCCCTGAACTTTGTCCTGTTTTAATTTTCTTCTCCATTTCCACAAGTAATCTAATCTGAAATGCATAATAAACTACTGTTCTCTTTAATGATGGCCAACAGTAGTACTTTCAGTTTTACTCATGTCCAAATTCTCCACTAATCTCCCAGATAATTTGTGAAGGGCCAACTCACACTTGACACGTCTAAAACAGAATCCACAACTCATTAAAACCATTCATAATAATTCAAAGTGTTTTATCTCATCCCATCACCATTCAAGTTCTCACTAGAGGTATCTATTTGATCTTTCCTTAGACTGTAATTTCCTAACTCCATTTTTTTATTGCGTTATTCTGAGATGCTCTTTCCTATCCATGTTTAAAATATACCCATGTTCTCCCTCATATTTCAATTACGGTAACATTTTTTTTCTTTGATTTTAGGAACTTGAAAGATACTCTAAAGGCAAAGGATGCATTTTAGAGTGGTTGAGTTCAGACAAAACACACCTAATTCCAGATGTGTCTAGTTATTTACAGCCATGGTATCTTTGCCTATAACCCTCTTAGTAACCTTCAGTGTCATCCTCCAGCATATCATGTAAAATACAGCTTAAGGCAAATATACCTTTGTTCCTTTCATAAGGATATAAATGAATTTTTGTGATGTGTAAGCCTTGTCTGTAAGGTTTTAGAAAAAACGCTATATTTATTAGACTTCTGGATTTATGACAGCCTTCTGATTTAAAAAAAAAAAAAATAAAAAAAAAAAAAAAAAAAAAACAAACAAAAAAACCACCACATCAGCTTTAAATACATAGCACTTATGCAGTAGACTAAGTTTTCATTAGAGGCTGATATACATCTGGAAACCCCAAAGATTTCACCGTGAAAATGCACTGTGACTACAATTTGGTTTAGGTAAAACATATGAGGTACTTCCCCTTGACTGGGCCGCTTCCGAGAAGCTCTGGGCGCCGCCAGCCAGGCGTTGCGAGCAGGTAAGGCTGTGAGGAGCAGGCTCGTCCTCCGCCCGGTCCCGCGGGCCTCAGCCGCGGTCTCCCGTCGCGCTCCCCGCCCTGCTCCCAGCGGAACCGTGACGAGCCGGTAGCAAAGCGCGCCAGGCTCGGGGGGCTGGAAGTGTGGAGAGTAGGTGGGCGTGCGTTTCCTTCCTACCCTTCAGTCCCTCTCCCCTGCTGCTGAGGTGTCAGCCACCGAAATGGACCGACAAGGAGCATCCGAAGTTTTATCGAGTTTGCTGAGAGGATTCGAGGAACCTCACCGTAGTCCGGTGGAGTGGAGGGACCGATTGCGAGACGTGTGGCTGTTCAGAGCCGAGTTGAGCGTCAGGGCTGGTAGTGGGGTGCACTTCAGAGGCGCGGAGGAGCGTCCAACAGGGGCTTCTTCAAGTCTTGGGTTTTTTCCCCCATATGTTTTCGTGGGACTTGTGTACAGAAGAGTTTGTGGGCTTTGTTTTCGTTTGTATTTAGTGATCGCTGTGCATGAGCAAGAGAAATTCTATTGCTGTATTTAACCTTGTTTCCTGAGAGAGACCTATTTTCACAGTCTTAAGTGACACCAAGACAATTCCCAGCAGGCCGGGCCCAGTTGCATAAGCAGAGAGGCATGGAGGGGGACAGGTTGTGTAATGTCAGTGACATCATAGGTGGGTGTGGTTGAAGTTTTATAATACAGTGTTGAGAGAGGGTGCAAAGACGGGAGGTAGAGGCACGCTGCTAGACCGTCCTGTATCGATCACAAGCAGTATGTCTGGTACCATGAACGCTTTAAGATACAGTCAGTTTTTCAGAGTTTAGCCTTCCTAGAGGGAGTCAAATTTGTGTGATTGATATACCTTGGTGGATCCAGTGACAGATTCCTTCATTGTTTTTATTCAACTGTGGATTTGAACACCTGGTGACCTGTGCGGTTCTGTTTTCATTTGTGCTATTTTATTTCTGTTCAGAAATTTAGGAATAAATATTTTTACAGATTAAGTGTATTACGTTTATTGTTGTAGTGGAGAAAAAAGCCAAAAGCTTGCATAAGTCTGATCCTTTAGTCTGTTCTGGGGAGATACATTAGATCTAGTTCCAGAATAAACTGTTTCCAAGGTAGGTGGGATTAAATCTCAGATATATTTTGTATGCCTTTTGGCAACCAAATTTAAAAAGGTTCACTTGTGGCCTTCAATTCTACATTATTTGGCAGGATGTTTCCAAAATGTAGGATATAGGATAAATGTGACCTGAGAAAGTGACTGATGTATTTTAAATCTCAGAACTGTAACAAGCAGAATTCTTTTTCTTTGTGTGTTCTGAAGTACAGCTCAGGAAGAAATGGAGTCAAAATCCAGTGGCCTTCAGGGTACAAACTGATTAAT